GAGTACAAGGCGAATTTAATAACTTACAAAGTTCCCTCTGTTCCACTGCTCCCTACCCGCAAGTTCTGAGCGTTTTGAAGAATTAATCTGCGTTTAACAGAACGTGGCGCTTCCAACTACCGCAGCCTGCGTAGTGACAACGTCGCGACTGGTATTGTTTGTCGTTAGTGAGTCACACAGTTCACAATTCAGTGTAAACATAGCTCACGAAACCGTTCTGCTTGTGTACGCGCATACAACCACAGACGAATCGAAAAGTCAACGTTGAAAGCACTGCGACGACTATTAAAAAAATTTGGTACTTTACAGTCTCCTTATCACCGATCGCCAGTCAACCAACATATGTGTAAGCGGTTATAAGCTTTAAATTCCATGCTCAAGTACCACATTTACTCTTTCTCTTAGTCGATATACGTCTCTACAACGACAGAGAGTGTTCACGTCAGCAAACTTACGTCGAAAGTGAGTGTGAGTGACAGCAAGATAGTGGGACTCTGGGCGCACACGATCTGAGCGAGTCCCGAGTTTCTTAACTCGGCAGAGGTGAGTAATCGCGCCGGAGCACCTCGTCAACTTATGATCAGCTTTCGAGAGCGCATGGAACGCATTTAACATAATGTCGTCGTGGATGTCGTTAGCACAAGCTTAGGAAAAAAGAGGCGATGTGCGCAAAACTTGTCATCTAAGCCTGCCGACCCTTATTTCAACAATGGGCGGTGCTTCGTGTTTAACGCTAGTCCCTGCATTTACTTTGATCTGGCAGCGTCACGGTGAATAAGCTATTGGCACGAACGTCTCCGGCGCAAACTGAGCAAAATCTGAGTTCATCCATATTCGACCAGTACGAGTGCAGTGGCCATGATGCTTTTTCCGAGCCCTTCATCGCAGTGCTCAGTAGCGACAGACAGACGGTTCTGCTTCCGCTTGGAAACGGCATTGATCATGTCTGACCGTTAGGCCGCACTTTACGAACAGACTTCGGATTTCTAGATGGAAGCCATACTCTGTGTGCTCTGCTGTTTCGATCACAGCAAAGACGACGATGGAAATGCGTTTCGAACCAGCGACGACGGTTCAACCCAGCCTTCCGAGTACTCAAATCATTCTGAATGTAAGTGAGTGATATTCTGCGAAGCGCCGTACTTATCCTATCACGTACTTGAACGAAAGCCGCTCTCCCTATGCAATGATTTACTGGCTTTCATGTCCATAATGAGAGAACAAGATGGGTCATCAGCGATGGGCGGAAACGCTGCTTAAGAATATGTTCTTTTTCGTCTGCAGTAACATGGCGTCTTTAGGAGTATTTTGCCACAATAAAATTCTGAATGACATAGCTGCAGGTGATGGTATTGAGAAAAGTTGATTGTTTCACTTTCTTTTATTTCCACTCACCCCGTCATATTCGGACTCAGTGGTTTGCTAAGTGTCGCTACAAACTGGCTCTATCCATCCTACTTCGAATACTTCATTTTTGGAGAAATTTTGCGACGTGAAAACTGTACCGAGAATTTTGGCTTGTAACAGCATCGAGCAGCATTGTATGTTTGACCTTATATAATAAAGTAGTTGGTGATCAAAGCTGTTCAGTCGACTTTGTTGAGATTCTCCTCCTGTCCCAAAAATATCTACAGATGTTTCACTTGTAATGTACATTTACCTTTTCTCTTCCTTGAAATAAGTCGTAAAAATCTAGGTTATAGCTGTGCAAGCTCTTTAGAGAACTAATAACTACTTCTAATACTTCCCGCTCGGATAACTTGCACCTGTCGGTAATCGGCAACAAATCGAACAGGCCGCAACACCGCCATTCCACATCATTTCTCGCAATTTTGAGGCGCGGCCTTCCCGGTTCCTGACATAATATTTCCATTGTCCTGATTGGTGGCCAGGCAGCCTAATTCGCTCCTGAGCGTACCACTCGACCATATTGCCGACCATCTCCCATCGGTGAGCCGAGCTACATGCTTGACCAATTTCTGCTTTCGATGACAACGTCCTTCAATCTCGCCTGCTGTCTGATCTCCGCCTTGCGGATCAGGTCGTACCATGAGAATCCCAATATTCTGACCTTTATAGTTATTAGATGACAGACAGACTGCACTCTTCGGCTCTAATGAGTAATTACGTCTCATAGCCCCGATTTCTCCCATGTTCTTCACACCCTCTGTGGTTCCTAACCAAATCGAACTACCGTCTTTTCAGATACCGATCATGTGCTTCCGCCGTTGTGTCTTGCAGAGGACAAGGACGTCGCAGGCCATCCCTCGCCGTTCTTCTATTAGTTGGTTTAATGTTTCTTTCCTCGCCATTGTCGTGTCATCGCCGGTGTTGTACAGTTGTATGTGCAAACGGCGAAAGAATTCCTGGTCTGTCTGCCAGATAGAGGCTTTAAACCTGAAATCCTTAACAGTCTCTTATCAATCGAATACAGAACCGCCGCTGAGAAACGAGTAGGATAATCAGGCTCATTCGTGTTGTCGGGTAAAGTGGTTTTCTACCCGCTGGCAAAGCTGACAGTGGTCGGAAGAATTTCTTGCAGATGCCCCCCCCCAATCAGTCCGGTTTCTTATTAAAGTTGTCTCTTCTAGCCGATGATGAACCGACGTCTAAGACAGGCAGCGGTGAAATTGGCGGCCTTTTTGATGCAAAGTGTCGGATCACTTTCGCCTCGACATAAGACTGTCAATGGGCACTGAGGCATTTTCTCTGTGGATCCAACTTGTCGAGCTCGTACCTGGCCACGTTTTTGTGGTCTCCCACCTGCCTGTCAGCAACGGCCTATTTGTTGCAGCTAATTTTCATAAGTGAAATATACTCCCATATCCGCATCCCTGGGATGCGCCAGATGGCCTGCAGCTAAGCACACCGGACTTCTACTGCTTCTTATAATTATAATCTATGAGTGGCGCCACAAACTCAACTGCCCATGCGGCTTATCATTATATACCAAGGATTCCTTCAGGCATATGAATACTTATTTGACAGGCAGTTATTCACCACCAGGCTGCGTACAAATTCAAGCTCTTATCCTCATGGTTGAGCATGGACAATAATCAAATTACGATGGAATGGAGTGCACTATCCCCAGTCGTTTCCTTATCATGGAAGCCCGCTATAAATCTCGAAACGAATGAGTGACGAAGCAGTGACAGTAAGCAATAGACTGACTTCTTCATGTTGTTAAGGGAGGTGTGGATATGGGGGACTATCAGTTCAATAAATATCATGTCCATCAATTCGAGCCTGAAGGATGATTGCTGGCAGAGATGAGCAAATATCTGATGACCTTCAAGCAACGACAGCGTTTCCCAGCTAGGTGGCTTGCAGTGAAAAAAATTGGTGTTTGCTCATGCTCTCATGCTGCCCGGATAGATAAACTGCCCATGAGAAGCTGCATGATCCACAGAGGTGGTCTCAACGGTAGATTGGCTTGGCCCTGACAAGGGTCATTGGGTCGGTTTTCCTTTTGACCGAGTTTCTTACGGCGTTCGGTCATCGCTCTGATGGCAGTCGCTGTGCTTTCGCGAGTAGCAGGGACAACTCGACTGGAAGTCAGAAAATATGAACAGCTCTGCTAAAGAATGTGCTTGCGTTAAGCTGTTTCAAAAAGCCAGCGATGGCCATCGTTCGCACTTGCTTATGTCATCGCTGCTAGGTGGTGATCATTTTTGGCAAAGTTTAGGTACATACCGTTGTTCGAAATGCCTCGCACCTGCTGCTGGTACCCTCCGCTGTGTGCGGTGCTTGTTTCGGCTCGGTTCGGATCCGATCGGCGCAGAGCACATGATATGGATGCACGATCGTACGGACGGGTTGACTTTCCCTCGTCATTTGACAGACCAGGCGAAAATGCGAAATAGCGTGGAATAACCGAGTGCCAGGCGCGTTCGAGGTGTTGCCTCTGCCGAACTGTGTCGCATGCGCGTCATCGTGGCTGCAGAGAGGTATACGAGAGCGCCGTGTGTCGCATGCCGTACGCAAACAAACGGCTTTCACCTTCGTACCGCCAGACACACTGATGTGGAGGGTATGACTTGAATCTAAGTTTGTTGGTATCCAGTGGCGAGGAGCGACAGCACGTGGGATATGTTGTAGCGCGACGTGTGTAGTTCAATGGCAACCGTGCGAGGGCAACACGCTTGCTGCGATCGCCGCAGCAACCAGTCGCGTTTCAATCGTATGGTCGTACCATTGTGTCACGACGTTGCGGTGACAGGGAGGAGGGCACGTTAAACTCCTTCTTGAAAAGCAGCAACGCTTGTAACGATCGAGAAGATACATGCACTTGTATTGCATCTTCTGAAGCACAAGTTTGACGTTAGCTACTTCTCGAGTGCTCCTGAGTAGTAGTTGGTCAAGCTAGCGAGGACTGCACGCTTGTCCGCTACAGGGCAGTTACTGTCGTTGTCAAGCCTACACACAACTGTTAATAGTTTTGAAATTTGTAAGCTATTCTTCTTCGACTTGTCGAAGTGGGTGTTGCATTTCAGTTGCATTTGTGTTGTCAGTCGCTATAGAGTGCCTATGACAGAGGTGAACTTTTAGTGCGCTTGTTTTGCCCTCATATGATGCCGTGGTCTCTGTTCAATTCCGCGCAGCGGCGTTCCTTCAACCTTTCGGACAAGAAGGCGGCGAAACATCAGTCCTCTTACGGATGCGGCTACGATGCGATTGTACCGGAGGCGAACAACGCTAGCCTCAGGCGCTACCTGCAGTACAAGCCGTCCGTGTTTCGACGTCAGCTTTCGGTGGCACCCACGCGCCGGCCCGCGGACGACATTGAGAATTTCGAGAACGCGTCGCTTTGCTCGGTACCCATTGCTCGACACGAAAAAGTACACTTTACGAAGTCCGAGGGCGCTCGGCAAAATCGGTCGCCCGTACTGACCGTGCGCAGCTCGTGGAGACAAGACCGCGATCGCCAGGGTTTGTGCCACAGCGGAGAATCGGCCATACGGATCAGTGCCAGCCCGAACTTGGTCACGAACTCGTCTGTCGACTCATGTCGGCCAGTTCGTCAGTCGGACAGCCTCGACCACCTTCGACCGGTGAAGCATCATAACCGAGTTACTTACTGCAGTTCACTGCAGTTTCCAGATTTGCTCAACGACTGCGTTAAGATTGCCGGCAGCTCAAGCAACACCTATCGAAGCACTCTAAGCAAACACATCGTTTGTAGCTGTCCCGAAAAAGACCTGGATTGGAAGTGCAAACCGCTCAAGTTATGGACCACCAATGACGTCATCGCCTGGCTGCAGCACATTGGCATGGATGAAGTGGCATCGGTTTTTATAGGTAAGCTACGTCTTTGATAACTGGACTCTTATTTATTGGTTTCTATTCATGGGCATCGGCTATAAGTTTATTCTGATACATGCGGCCAGTTTTCAGACGTTGCAACATTCGTTGCAGTAGTATTTTAGCAAATCAGCACGCGTGCTAAGCAGACAGGCATAAACACACGAACTTATAGTACCGCAACTATTAGCTGGCCATCCATCTCTCACCTGTTCTTCAGTTGGTTGCACCAATGAATGATTACTAAGTTAGCAAATGTAAGTCTGAAGCTTTTCTATTCTGTTCTAGCTTATTAAACTTTTCAGCAGATATACTTGCGTGTAAGAGATCGGTTTCGAACTGCGGATGAGCTGGGATCGGTTCAGCTGTAAGGGCAATCTTTTCCTTAACCGCGATTTCCCTTGAAATGGGAATATACCACACATTACTTGGTTTCTCATCGGGTAGAGCTGTCTTTAGCGGGGGTCACTCACCTTTTCTCGTTCCGAGATCGATCATTGAATACCACTCTGTTGGACAGGAACAGGAAACTACACCTTAATCCTTTCGCGTAGCTGTTGTCGATTCTGTGTTTAAAATAAAGTACTCTCGGCTGATAACATGGAAATTGAGACCAGCACCCGGCCATTAACTTCGTGAAAAGAAGGGTGTCCGGACTGGTCATCATAAAGGGGTAAGGAAGATCGGCATTCCATCGGTTTCAAACGTTTCTTCCATTTCTTATGAATATAGCAATACTATTCTCTTACTTCAGATTCAGCGATCGAACGGAACGTTTCAGAGACGGACCCCGCTGTTTCATTTCCGTTTCTTAACCTGAAGCGATTATTTCACCTCCTATAGCACTGCTAGTTGAAGTCTACTGCAGGATCTAGTAGATTTTCATTAAATGCGTCAGATTGAATAAGCGGTGTCAAGAAAACCTTTTTGTGGCGTGAATGGCATGACATCATGGAGTATGCTTGATATTTAGTCTTTCAATTCCAGAGTTTTGGTATGATTGACGGGATGGTTTGTCATCGGCTGATTCAAGGCGTAATGCGCCCCTTGAATGCACTTATATACGACTTCATGCATGATCATCAGTAGTGCATACTTACCATGACCACACTTCTACTCCAGGTTGCTCGCAGGTCACCTAGCGGATACCCATTCCTCGTCTGGCTACATTGTATCACAGAAATATTTCGTGCTGATAATTTAATATTCATCACCATATCATTAGCGTTTTCTGCTCCATTGCTGGATGAAAGCCCGTCGAAAATTTCACCAAAAAAGTTTGTATTTTGCGATGCTTATGCACATTGCTCCAAGAAATTTTTTCAGTTCATCCTGCGGTCGATCTGCAGTTGTTCCCACGAGTCCTTTCCAATTTCTTAGAAACTAGTACAGCACTTCTTTGATGCAATAATGGCCAATTTTTAGCATGCCCAACGTATTGCCATTGCAACTTTTTTGCTTTTATGATGACATCGCAAACGCTTGTTTTATGCTGTTACCCATTCGTCAGTCTTCCTAGTTCTTCTACTTATTTCGAACACACCTTTCCATGCTGCGTTGCGTAATCTGCAGTTTGTGAATAGCTTTCTGACTTCTCGGGTCCACGTTTCGCATCCAAAGGTAAACAGTGGAAACACACATTAATCGAAAACTCCGTTTCAAGTACAAGGACAGATTCCGGATAAGAAGGGTTTCCGTTTTTCGAAATTGCTCTACACTATTTTTTACTCTGGTGTTTATTTTGTAGAGTCGGCTCTCCCTTGCACAGATTCGCTGTTCCAAACGTAGTTTCGCACCTCTAAGGCTTTAGTCCATTGGCTTCAACAGTTCGTTGGGTCACACATTTGTTAAATATGACCTGTGTCTCCTTTCTAGGTCATTTGGAGCAGTTTTGGAGACTGTGGGAATCGGAATATTGAGCAGCGTTCATTTATCTTCAACCCCTGCTTTTTCACAGTATCTTTAAACATTTTGTAGGACTGCTATGAATAACCAGTAATATTTCACCACCGTATCAGACCTCTTTCTCGATTCTGAATTTGGTTTATGTGAAACTTTATACTGGCCATTTCATTCTTGCAAATCATGACAATGATGTTTTTATATAGTAGGATTCCCATATTGTAACAAATCAAACACGTGAAACGTTTCTAATGCGTAAATGTTTCACGATGTGACAGGAGAAAGAAAATATAAATTGCTGTTGCACCAGCAGAAAGTACACTGAATGGAAAAGCGCAGTTGCTCTGGGAAAAAAATGTCCACCGGTATGTTAGGGTCTTTTTCGCTTCTGAAAAGAACAGTATAGTCTTTTCGAGATTCACAGAAGTAATATTCGTCTGATCAATAGTTAAAGTGCCTCAAAGTAGTGCATTCCGATTTCTACACAGAATATTAATCATCGAAGTATCAGTCGGCGAAATCAATTTCACCACTGCGGTAAACTGTTATAGTCTGCTTTTCAGCAAATATGATTTTGGGCTTCGGTTTCGCATCATTTTTTGGAGGTAAAGTTCAGGATTGATTGCGTAAGCCTCTTTCACACCGCTGCAGGATTTTTTAAACTGCACCCTTCAAGTAGACTAATCCCACCGCCTAATCTTTGCTGTGTATTAACGAATCGAACGTATATTTGACGTGCACAACAGAAGGCAGGTTCAAGTTCACTGAAAGTTAACTGCCAGTTTGTGTAGCTGGAGGTTTGAACCTAGGCAGACCCAATCGAATACGAGAATGCCCCCAATTCTGTATGAGTGCAGCCAAGGTTTCAAGGGGTTGCCTTTCCATTGGTATGATGACCAGATACAAAATCCCAGCATTGGGAAGCGAATCGGAAGTTTGAACTTTCAAACTGCAGCAGGAAAATGACTGCTTTATGATCAAAATGCCAAAAGCGCTGCTATATCAGATATGTTATAAATATACTGTGTTTCTTATTGAAGTATTTTGTTTACGCGTTGTAAAATGCCCTAATGATTATCCTAACTGATGTAGGAAGGACAACTGATTGCGAGCTTTACTACCTGCCGAATACTATTGTGTGCAGTTAGTTTTATCTGCATTTCTATATGCAGCAGCTGTTCTCTTAAACGTTATTTTTCTTCCTGACGGTTTTCATTTGTTCCGATCACATATCTGAGTCGTATGATAAACCCTTGTTTACATTATGGGCTCGTAGCAGAGAAAAATAGTAAGTTTCCCTGCATTTTTCACCTTGTGAAATTTGTAGGTCGCTTTCTTAGCAATGGTTCTTTCTTACCGTTTGTCCATTTTGATGTTCCGTGACCGTTGTCTGCCTCCGCGACCCGAAAGGAGAAGCGGTCAAGGAAGATGAAGATGACCGTTGTTGAATATGATTCTGTTGTCTAACTCAGTTCTGGCTAGGGGTCCTTGTAGTGTTAACATCAGATCATAGTCAGATAAACTTGTCACAGCCTTACAAACTTTCACCCGAATCGTTCGGTGACGAATTTTTTAGAATACCCCATAGATTAGACCATGCCTAAGCTTGTTATCCAATGTTGCCTACTGTCGACACTGTCTTGCTTCTGTCCTGAAAATAATCATCGGCAGGATTGCAGTAACATACGCTCTGTGACTAAGCTACAGTCCCAAACTACAAAAGAGGATACTTCTAATTTATATTGTTTTGTCAGCATAATATGAAGCGCAGCTTCTTAACCAGGGGTGTTTCCATTCCTGGCGATGCGATGCACATGCAATCTGATATGACTGGCACAAAAATCTTGTTTATAAGCCTATACATACCCGGAAAACTAAAGGCGAAATTCTTTAAATGATAGAAAAAACAGTTCAGTGAGTGAAATGGAGTTAAAGTTTTCCTTGGTATTTTTTGTAATCTTGATATAAAAATGTTTCGAATCCCGGTGGCACAGTGGCAGAGAGGTCGGTTTCGAAGTCCCAAGTTCGAATCCCGGAAATAATGATAACTTAGTTCCCTTAAGGAGATACCCCAAGATACTCCATGGGAAACGAGTCAAAGTCGCTGACTTGCAAACAGCGAAGACAGCATCGTATTCTGATGTCGCCATGTCAGATTGGACGAGAAATACTGCAACGTTTTCTTATGCGAGGGCCTCCTTGCGCTGCAGTTCGCCTTGACCCACCTGATAGCTGTTTATTCAGTGTGTTAATCGGTAAGGATGCAGTCTCTCTTGCTGTCTGTCCGTCTTGTAAGAGATACTTTGAATTTCATGGACGCATCGAAAAAAATATGAAGAGCTGCTGATCTAATGCTATGCAGCTGACCTTGTAAAATTCGGTTACTGGCATTGATGATATTCTGTTTGACTAAGGTAGCACCTCAGATTCATCTGGACGTTATTAGCTGTTGCGCTGAAGGTCATATTTTTAGTCATGAGCAGTCCTGTCTTCTGTGGTGTCTCAAGGCTTTATTCATTTATTGAAAGGATTGCTCCTTCCCTTGATTGATTCATTTTAGACCTGGCTAGGTCAGATCTCTGAGCTTTCCTGAGAGTTTCGCTGTTGGTTGGATTTTGTCCAAGCATATGTTAGTTTCTTGCCCTTGTGTACAACATGTTTTGCCGACATGCTGGTTAACTAGCGCATAAACTACCTGACCAAAAAATAAGGGTATTTCGATGAAGCAACCATAATGAAAGAATAGTCTGACATACTTTTTCTTCAAGTATACCTCGGTTTCCGTAGGTAAACTTAAAGAAAAAAGAACTAACTAACCAAATGTGCTTTGAAAGTCCTACCGAATATCATGAAAACAGTTCATTTCAGCTTAGTGTAACTTATGGTATGGTAGATCACTCGCGACGATTCATCCTTCCTCTCACAGAACTTCTGCACTGTTAAATTGAGTGTTTGATTGTAGTGGGTGTCGTCGTTTGTTGCTGCTGCAGAGCGTAGAGCCTTAAGATGAGCTTTTGGAACTTGTTGCTGCCTTAGCGGTTTATTGGTGACTAATTCGGCGGCACTCATTTAATCCACTCACAGTTTGTATCTTT